ACCTGCCCTTTTCACATGGTGACCAGAGAGAATACAGACCTGTCAGAAACCCGTGTAGCCTAGAATCAGGCAGATAGCCTAGATGGGCTAGATGTTATACTCCAGTCCATGGTCACCCCAGGTCAGGCCAGCCTCCTAAGACCAGAGAATCTCTTCGAGGGTGAATCTCTGGTTTTGAGGTTCCTTCAAAATCAAATTCGCTGAAAGAGAGCCATGTTGACATTGCAGAGGCTTCTGAGCATAATGAAAAGTCCTAATAAATAGGACTCAACTGCCCCAGGGGTTCTCTAGACCAGAGGTTGCAAGGTGGCAGCTCACTCTATCTGCTCTTGGCTGTTTAACTCACCCCATATGTTAACAAACGAAAACAACTTAAAATCCTTGCAATCATATAACAACCATATTTCTCAGAAACATTTGGGTCCTTACTTCTCTTGAAAAGCATACAGTCATCTGAAAATACTGGCCTGCCTTCCCATTTGGCAGCTGGCTGGAATGACATAGCAGCAGCTGCCCCCCTCCTGTCCCCCTCCTCATCCTAGATGGGGCCTGGTCTCATCTGTCAGTCCTATCACAGGGCCTTACAGCTGACTCCCGAGTCTTCAGAGACTGGCCCTACACATCCTGGATGTCTCCTCCTTATTCAAAATCGTAGTCTCTCATCTCCAGTCCAGGTTTATAAGTGACCACATTGAAAAGTCCTCTCGAGTCCTAGTGAGTCCTGATGAGTTCTCCTGGTAATTACTCGGTGCTAATGCTTAGTTGGAGGGGAAAGATACCTCGGAAGGGAGGACATAATAGGCACTACACTACAGAAGGGAGGAGGGTGGGTCAGATGAGTGGGGGTAGGCAGACCACTGGAGAATCGGATCAAAGGGCTCAAGGAGCTGGGTTAATATAAAAAGGTGAGAAAGGGGAGTGGGAGGGGCAGGAGAGGAGCTAGAATAGAATAGTATCTCAGCAGGACTGGTGAGTGCCCGGGGAGATGGAGGGATTTCTCTCCTTTCCAAGCCTCATGGACAAATGTTTAAAAGACAAATATTAATAGCTACACACTTCTAAGTTTTATTGCTAATTACAACTTAACGTGCTTGGGAGTTCTGAATGAGGTGTTAAGTGCAAAGTATGTTAACTTGGGCAGGGATGAGCTTTTTCCAGTTCAAAATTAATGCCCCTACCAAAAAATAAGACTAATGGAATGCTTCACCCAGATGGTTTGGCTCTTTGATATCTACAAACATTTTGAAAACACTTAAAATATTTTCAACTTTTCTGTGCAGTTGCATTAGGTGATGACTGTTGGCTTACTTGTTTCCTGTTTAGTTTTTCCTTTGCTCTCTCTCCAAATAACTTTTGGAGGCCATAGTCAGTCCACAGAACTGGACTTGTGGCATAAAAAAAAGTTGTGTAATAACAGAGACATGAGTGCCAACAGGTGGTTTCATAATCTAAGGCCTTGAAATAAGTTGTTATCCTGCCGCTTGGCGCGAATTCTGGACTTGGTGATGGACATCTTGAAGTGTGCACATTAGTTGTATCAAGATGTATCAAGATGAGGCTCTGGCCCCGAAGGCCGGGTTTCACTGGGACTGTGGAAGAGCTATGAGCGTGTGTGTGATTACTGTACAAATGCATCCAGCCAGTCGGCTGAGAACTAGTATGTTAGACAAATGTTTAACCCCTGGTGGAGGAAAGAAAAACAGTTAAGTCAGCTTCCTGGGGCCATCCTCCCTTTGTCCTCTCCAATTTTAGAGACAGGAAGAGGAAAAGAATCATCAATGTGAGAAACATCGATCAGCTGCAACCTGCATGCCCCCTAATGGGGATCAAACCCCAAACCAGGGCATGTGCCAAGACCTGGAATCCAACCTGTGACCTCTTGGTGGGTGGGTCAACACTCAACCACTGAGCCAAGCTGGCCAAGACTCTAAGTACAACTCCGAAGGGACCAGCAGTAATCTTTTTGCTTTATTTCCAAGTTTAGCTCATTGTCTAGTACCCAGGTCTTCAAACAACAAATTGTTTTCCCCTCCCCCAAGCCTCAGAAGAGAGCTTACTCTGCTGTCTCAGTGAGGCTCATTCAATCTTTGGACTTCGGTTAACAACTAAATAAGACTCTAAGGAGAGAGAACATTAAAACAAAACTAAATTGAGTGTCTCAGTATTTGTCTTTGGCTTGTTGGTTTGGGAATATTATGTAAACTACCTTCCCTTTTCCACCACTTTGAGGAATCCTCATCAGGACCAATAGAAAACCTTATGCTGAGGAGAAATGGCGGGGGGTTATCTGAAATACAATGTCAGACACTTCCAAGATGAAGCACCCATTTATCACAGTCAAAGCAGTGTCCCGTGCCTCAAGGGAATGGAGTTACTGACCCACCCACCAGATCGCAACACTCAGATTTCAAGAATCAATGACCTACAAGATCTAAGACCAGCAGAGGGACCTGCATTCAGCCCATTCAAAAGCTGTTTCATCTAAGACATGTTTAAAAAATTATGACAAGTTGAACATAGTCCTTTTTATTATAATGGAACCTGACTCCAGTCAAGTTGGGGTTAGGATACAGGCTCAGTAGATAGGCCTATACTGAGCTTAAGTATTCTCATCCACAACAGGTGACTTAAGTATTCTCATCCACAACAGCACATTTCTTATAAGACCAAGTTTTGATTAATTCATATATATATATATATATATATATATATATATATAGTGTACCTACTGTGGGCTAAATACTATGACAGATGCTGCAGTTACAAAGTTGAACACAACCCACTTACCACTTTTTTTTTAAATGTATTTTTATTGATTTCAGAAAGGAAGGGAGCGGGAGAGATAGAAACATCAATGATGAGAGAGAATCATTGATTGGCTGCCTCCTGCAAGCCCCGTACTGGGGATCAAGCCCACAACCCAAGTATGTGCCCTTGACCGGAATCGAGCCTGGGATCTTTCAGTTCGCAGGCCGACGCTCTATCCATTGAGCCAAAAAGGCTAGGGCCCAGTCCTCACTCTTAGAAAGCTTAATCTATCAGGGAGAAAATACAGTGAGTTTTGCTTTGTGCGGTGTTATGTAACAAATGTAGTGAATGCTAGAAAAGGGCTGTCTGAGGCAGAGCACGGGCACAGGTGAGGGACGGTAAAGGCCACTGGGTAAGTCAGGCTGAGTGTTGATGGTTTCAGAAATGACTAGTAGACAAAAGGAGCCACGAAGGCACAATGGCCCCACTTCATTTTACAATACTCAAGTCTAAAAATAAAATGACAAAGAATACATCCAGATAATAAGATGAACAAATGGGAGTCAAAAAGAGAGAGAAGACACTGATCAGATGATTTACTGCTAACAGTTTTTGCAGAAGTTACGCCACTCACTCTGAAGATCTTTCCTGTCCACTTGCCTCCTAAGGTGCTTCTGGGAGGTTTAGATTACCTTTTAGCTCCCTGTTTCTGTTCTGGTACAGCCCACATTTACTTGTCTGCAAGTGACCACGCCTTCCACCTCCAGCTGCTTTCCTAATTTTTCAGTTTCTAAAAACTTATAAACAGAAAAAAATCTGATAAAAATAACTTGATATCATGCGAAGTGTTGACACATTAAAGGAATCCTTTGGTTGCTTAACCAGGACATTATTTCTATTCTTAAATATGTCTGTAATAGGAAACAAAGTTGATATGTAATGTTTGAATGTCTTTGAATGGCTTATACTTAGAATAGGTTTCATATATTATTTTAAATGTCCATAAAACACATTACTATTTTTTTATTTCATTGAATTATAAGTTACCCTATAAATAAGAAAGCCATCTAACAAATTCTGATCTAAAATGCAGTTTACCTTATTCTTCAGAATGTAGAAATCTTCCACCTTTTACAAAATGTGGTTAACCACAATACTTCAGGTAGTGTCAGGGAAAGAAAAGCAATCAGAAGAGTTGTAGTATATAAAAAGGAAGAAAAAGAAAATATGGGAAAACATATAATGAATGTACGTTTCCCTTAGAAAAAAATCTTTCAAGTGAAATGTCATAGTTCTAATAAACACTGAGTGACCATGATAGAAACCACATGAATTACCACAAGATCCTTAATTAGTTATAAAGAAAAAGGAACCGTGTCCTTTAAGACAAAAATTAGGTAATATTTTCACAGTGAAAGTTAGGCAAAGGTTTTGGAAATTCTTAGAATGGCTCACTCAAAAAACTAACCAAGCAGTTCTGAGTTACTTATGTGATTACAGGTTGGTTTTATCTGAGAAAACCACATAAAATATTAAGTATTAGCACATAACCAACCATTATATAAAGTATTACACCAAAGGAAGATACCTTTCTTGATGGTAAAATGACATGAAATGTAAACTAAAATTACACAGCATTGAATGAGAGCCAATCGTTAAATCAACTGTCAAGAAAACCGTGGGGAGTTACAGAATAAAACAAACCATCATAATAAAGACACAAGAATCTTTCAAAACACAATATAACAGTAAAATCTAGCCCTTTTTAAAAACGTTTAGAACACTGTTAGTTAAAAGGCCAATTTCAAAGGCAATAATGTAAGTTAACCTAAAAATAATGGTTACTGTGGTGGCTTTAAAATATGTATGCCAGCGGTTCTCAACCTGTGGGTTGCAACCCCTTTGGCGGTCAAACGACCCTTTCACAGGGGTCGCCTAAGACCATCCTGCATATCAGATATTTACATTACAATTCATAACAGTAGCAACATTACAGTTACGAAGTAGCAACGAAAATAATTTTATGGTTGGGTCACAACATGAGGAACCGTATTTAAAGGCCAGAAGGTTGAGAACCCCTGAATTGTATGCAAATTCTTTGACATACAATTCAAATGATGGGCTAGGCTTAGTGCCTCACTTCTAGAAAAAAAAGTCAGAAGTGAGACTGTGTAGCTTCCATGACTAGGTCATCAGAAGGACAGCACTTCTGCCCTGGGCAGTGTTGCTCAGTTGGTTGAGCGTCATCCCATGCGCTGAAAGGTCACCGGTTCGATTCCTGGTCAGGACATTCCCAGGTTGCGGGCTCAATGGGAGGCAAGTGATCAATGTATCTCTCTCACATCAGTGTTTCTTTCCCTCTCTCGCTCTCCCTTCCTCTCTCTAAAATCAATAAAAACATATTAAAAAAAAAAAAGATACCGCTTCTGCCTGGAATGCAAGCTTTCTCATGGTGCTGGCTCTTAGAACCCAGCCATCGTTGTGAGGACACCCAGGCCACACAGAGAGGCCACGTGTGGGTGTTCCAGTCAAGAGCCTCTACTAGATCCCTAGCTGACACCAGCATCCACGTGCAGTCACGTGAGGGGATCATCAGTCTGCAGATGGCTGCAGCACCGGGCCTTTCTGTCTTCCAGCTTAGGCTACAGACGGACGTTGTGAAGCAGTGATGAGCCATCCTGCTCTGCACTGTGAATTCCTGCCCATACAAATGGAGATCATTGTTGTCGTAAGCCACTAAGTTTTGGGGCAATTTGTTTTGCAGTAATAGACAACTAACAGTTACCTGAATGCACACACTATTAAACATGAAAGAATTGTTTTTCAAACTGAAAACAATAATCTTTATACCAACCAATTTAGGATATATCCTCCATTTAATAAGTTTGGTAGGTTTTATTTAAGTGATACAATTAAACTTCATTAGTATAAATTTTTGTATTTTGAAATCTGAGAAAATTAGAATCTAAATTTTAGTGTTTAGGCTGAATGTCATCATTAAGAGTTCTGGGAAGGAAAGTTTAGGTAATCCACGAAAGAATGAAAGGGGAATACTGAAGCTAATTAAGAGAACAAATTATTTTAAAGTACTTCATTTTAAAGCTCTCCACATAGAAGGCACTCGATAGTTATAAAATGTCAAATGAACATTCCCCTAAATTCTTCTGAATCATTTTTTACGTGTTAGCTTTAAGTATTCTATTTGGCAAATTGGTCGGCTAAGTTCAAGCAAATTATTCGTGTATACATATATTTTATCTTTTCCTAATAAAAGGTGAGCTCCCGGAGGGCATCCTTATCTTTTTCACCTCTGTATTCCCCAATGGGCACAACAAAATGTTGTAGGTCAATTACTGCACTTAACCAATATTTGTGCAAATGATCAAACTGCACAGATGTGCCTGAAGCTAACTCAAGGGCCTTATAGTTCATTTTTTCCTTTTATTTGTTCTGCCCTTCCCCGTGATTAGTCCAAGCTAGTTGATGTTTTATTATATTTACAAGAGACACTGCAAACCCTTTTATATCATTTACCAGGGTACTCGGAGTAAAGACAAAGATATAAATGCTTGCTATGCGTAACTGGTCATCTGTGGTGATCGAGCCATCCCCGCATCTCCGGGACGATGCACGCTGACGAGCTCACTGCACACCGCGCAGCTCTGTCCTGGTGGAAGGGGCTCGCCCCTGCCCAGCTGTGCAGTGTGTGAGTCTGCTCATTTCCTTCTGCGGCTCAGGACAGAGAAAACCTAACCCAGAAGACCTCTATTTTGTTACAGGCAGAGATTTATAGATCAGCATTATTTTTTAAATATTACAAAGACACACCATTCTGCTTAGGACAGAAAAGAATAAAGACACCTAATTTTTTGTTCATTCCTCCAGTTTAGTCCAAACTTCTTTCAAAAAACAAAACAACAGTAAACTAGCCCTTCTTAAAAGGTTGAGACCAGACTTATTTGACAGGGTTACATTGCCTATGCTCAGACTTACACTTTTCACTGAATAAAATTTTGAAATATTTATTTATAAGGTTACAACTGTCTTTGAAATTAATCAGTGAATGAAGCAACAGTTTTTTTCCATTCACATTCACATTAATTACCACTATAAATAAGATATTCATAATTTCTCCAGTTTCAATCTAAACATTAAATTTGTAAAATTTGTAGTAACAGGATGTGGGTTCTGGTACAGATTTTCTAATTCACTCTTGGATCTCTGCCTTCACCCGCATCTCACAGGGATAGTGCCTTTTTAAACCTACTTTACAGGCAAATAGGCAAAGAATTTATATGGAAACATTTTGCTAAAGTTGCTAAACAAACATAAGGTAAAATATGTGCCATTTTATCATATGTTTTCTAATATTTGATTTGCTTTTTATAATTTAAACAAAACAAAGATTGCATACGTTCGGACTACAAAATTCAGTAATTATACAAGGTGAATTAAAGTAGTAAAGCAGGTCATCACAGTAAACTCATTCATCCATGCTCTCATTTAATTAAGAAATAATAATTATAAAAATAGGTAACATTTTGTGAAAATATTCCCATTTATTCTATCTTAGGAGTTCTTGCCCATATCGATGGATTGTCTGGCATCAGACATGGCATCCGGTACTTGAACAGTCATATTGTCCATAGACTTTGTCAAACAGATTTGGCAGCCCAATCGAGATCTGTATAAAAAAGGGGGAGGTATGGTTTAGTATTTAGGTGTTATTCATAAAACAATACAGTTGTATAGAACATTTTCTTACTCAAAAAAAGTTAAGAATTTATTTAACTTTTACATTTCTTTTAAGTTGAAAAACATATTCAACTCTCAACTAGAAGGTAACAAAATGTGATCATAAAAAACTAAAAGCCTAGTGGACCATGGCTTCATTTTAGTCTTTAGTCTCCATCATCTACTAATTGTTTCACCAGTACTACTGCTTTTTGGTGAAAGGACTGACAAGCAATGAAATAATCAGAAGGCACAACAGTGGAGAAGAGAACTGAGATTTTAGCAATGCCAAGAAAATGATTAATCAATTCCCAGATAATTAAAACCATACACAGACTATAAAGAAAGTCTTTAAAACAAAAAATTTGGAATAAACACACATATAAGTCATCAATTATCAAATATATATTTTCCCCACATTTTTAACATCTCTAAAATCCAGTTAAATCTTAAAATTAAAGGCATCTAACAATCACTGCTACACTGGGAGGTGGCAGTCACATCAGCGCTGCAAACTTGGTCACAATATTCATATAGGTGCCTCTTCAAATGAGTTACAAGAAGGATGTTACTACTACATATGTTGAATTTAACTACCAGTCAAAATTATATCATTGTGATTAGCTAGTTATTAATAATAGGAAAGGAGCAAAGGGGAGGCCAAACATTATAGGCATGTCATCTGGGCAGCTTCACCAGGAAGCTGCAATTTCACACTCCCCAGGGAACCACCAGCCCATCCCCTGCAGATCACTGGCGGAAGGGACTGGATAAAGGGAAGATGGGTGCATGCACAGTGAGTGGGGATGACATAGGGAAGATGCCTGTTAGTCAAACCTGAGAACAGAGATCATTAGCTAAAGGGGGCAGGGCCAATGCAAACCGACAAAAATTTGGGAATACATAATCCCGCAGACAAAGGAGTCTCATTCACCTGTGTTCCCTCCATAGCCATGTGGCCCTGAAGACCCCACATGCAAAGAACTAATGGACTGCAGCCAGAAACACCAACTAAGCTAGCCCGATGCTGGACTGGACACTGCTCCAACAGGAAACAAAAACTCGACAATGGCTTTGAACTTAGCCTTGCTGAAAATGAAATGGGACTTTTTTCCTGGCAAGACAAAGGGAAATGGGACCTTGGAAACTCAGGGGTGCAATTCCACAAAATAAAGCTTTCTACAATATCTCCTCCTCCCATGGGGACCTCCGGAAGTAAGCGCAAAAGGATTACAGAAGAAAGAATTAATACAGAAACACAGCGGAGTGTAAACTTGATATTCATAAATGTGTAAATTGATATTCATAAAGCAATTATTTGTCATTGGAAGAATAATTATAATCCCATTTTCTTCCCTTTTTCAGAATTACTACCAATTTTATTTATATTTTCCTTTTTTAACAATGATGTACAAATGTATGTCTAGGTAATTCAAAATAGCTATTTTACTATGCACAAAATAGGTTAAGTGATAATTTTGTGCCATATTTTTACTAGCAGTGCTCTTTTCTTTCTTAGTGGCAAACAAAAATAAATGCCAGTCTTACAATCCAATTGTCTTCGATTTGATGGAATGTGATGTGGAAGTCTTGGTTTCATTAGCACATTCATCAGACACTAACAGAGCATCTCAAGGCACAGCACTAAGTATCAGTGGGGGTACAAAGAGCAGCAACTCACTTCAATAGTTTGAACACCTCTTACATGCTGGGCGCCCAGGGATGCAATAGGAGGCAGCAGTGGGTTAGAACCTGAGAGCCAAACAGACCAGTGGTCCAGAATCTAGCCTGAACGTGGCGTGTACACTTTCTTAATGCCCCTCCCCAAATACTCATTTCCTAATCTCATCCTAAAGATGGATAATAAACAGGCTCCTCACTGGACTATGCGGAGGATTAGTTGCTAATATCAGTATTAAGGAGTGAACTTTTAATCAAATAGAAGAGATGAGACATATTTGCAGATAATCCTATATAATAAAGATGTAAAATGCAAATGGTCATTACGTAACGACTGACCGCGTAATGACCGGATCACAGATGAGCAGGAGGGTGGGGCAGCGAGCTACAAGCGGGCAGTGGAGAGCTACAGGAGAGGGCAGGGCAGCAAGCTATGGGGGGTGGGGGGTGCGGGGCAGCAGGTGGAGAGCTACCGGAGGGTGGCAGCGAGCTACTGGTGCACCGATTTGTGGGCAGGGCTATTAGTATAACATATGAGCTTGTGGCAAATGCCATAGAGAGTAAAAGCCAAAAGGTGTGAGGAGAAAGTACTTACATCTGTTCAGGGGAGATGAGGTTTAGAATGTGCTCTAAACATTTTTGTGAGGATAAGAAAATTTATGTTTTTAGGTAAGATAGTTTGCTAAGAATCTAACAAAAATGTAGTTACATAATACACCTGAAATAAAGCTATTATTACTGTATTTTTTTAATTTTTTAAATATATTTTATTGATTTTTTTACAGAGAGAAAGGGAGAGGGATAGAGAGTTAGAAACATCGATGAGAGAGAAACATCGATCAGCTGCCTCCTGCACACTCCCTACTGGGGATGTGCCCACAACCAAGGTACATGCCCTTGACTGGAATCGAACCTGGGACCCTTGAGTCCACAGGCTGACGCTCTATCCACTGAGCCAAACCGGTTAGGGCTTTAATTTTTTATTATTATTTTACATTAGGGTCACCAAATTACAGGTAAACACCAAAGCCAACACCACATAAGCCCTCATTATTTTGCCCCTTACACAGTAAATCAACTAGCTACTCTAGCTACTTTTCCTGGCTCCAACCAAAATATCAGGTAATGTTTAAGAATAAGGCATCACGGTCAGAGAAAGACAAGTATCACATGATCTCACTCATATGTGGAATCTAATGAACAAAATAAACTGTTGAACAAAACAGATCCAGAGACAAAGAAGCATGGAACAGACTGTCGAATCTCAGAGGGAAGGTGGGGGTGGGTGGGTGGAAGGGTAGAGATTAACCAAAGAACTTGTATGTATATATGCATAACCCATGGACACAGACAATAGGGTGGTGAAGGCCTGGGGTGGGGAGGGGCGGAAGGTGGGTGTGGGCTAGAAGGGGTCAATGGGGGGGAGGGGGACATTTGTAATACTTTCAACAATAAAGATTTTTTTTAAAAAGAATAAGGCATCACTTGATACCACTCACTTGCTACTTTAGATGTTACCAATTTAAGAGTAATTCTACCTATTAATTAATAACAAGAATAACCTGACTGATGTAGTTTAATGTACACTTAGAAGTAGAACTTCATCTTAACATAATTACTATTATATATTAAGTATCTTTAAAAATTCTGTTCTCAAGTAGGTAAAACTTTCCGTTATAATTTCATTCAATTGCCGGAACCGGTTTGGCTCAGTGGAAAAAGCGTCGGCCTGCTGGACTGAAAGGTCCCAGGTTCGATTCCGGGCAAGGGCATGTACCTAGGTTGCACGAACATCCCCAGTGTGGTGTGTATGGGTAGCAGCAGAATATGTTTCTAAATCACATCTCCCACA